TCTCTCTCTCTCTCTCTCTCTCATTTCTTTGGTCAATAGAGGGGGCGGGGAAGGTGCGCGCGACATTTTTTTTTTTGGGCGAGCTCGATGCTCAACTTCGCTCAGCTTTGACGGTACTTGAATTTACGTGCACACACACACACACACACACACACACACACACACACACACACACACACATATGCACCCATGTACACACCCACCCACCCACCACAACATGCACATGAACATCGGTCCACGATCTGATTCGGACACGTGCAGCTCGGTTTGGTCTTCAACCTAAGTCTTCCGGGAAATTCTCCAAGATGCACACCTAGCAATACAGCTGCTCGAATGTTTCGTATCGAACAGCAAATGCCAAGCAGATGGGCACTGAATACTTTATTCATATGCTATACCCCTCATACTCTTGGCTTTCGTTTGCGAAATTTTATGTTTTCTTTGCGGGCGGAGCCGCAACAGGTAAGCTGGTGTTCATATCGGCACTTGAGGTGTTCACAGATGTCACAGAATGCTCTGACCCGTAAGTCTCAGCGGTCAAAGTCTGAGGCATGAGACCAATAACTGATAAGATCCATGTATCGAGACTCAGGGTGAACTCCTAGTAGCTCTATCTTAATTCTTTCTTACCACATTGATGGCCAGACCTGGACGCATCGGAATGGAATGATGTCCACTAATGAGTGAGAAAGTCCTGCTGTACGTATGCCGTCAGAAAAACAACATGCTTCTCCAAGTGGCTAGGAGTGCACATCTTTTGAGCCACAACTACCTCCGCACCTCTTTTTCCTGTGGCGGATTTCCACTGTACGCCAAAGAAAAACAAACTGCAACGGACGCGATTTTTCTTTGTGGCCGGCAGCACCAGCCATTTAGGTCCGGTAGCAGTGTTCATCGAACACTTGTGGCGTATATTTTTACAACTATGAGACTTGCCCGGCATGCATAGTGGTGATTTAAAAAATGAAAAAGGGAGCTACCTCCTGACCATAGTCGCCCGCCAGATAACTGGATCCAGATGCAGAGCGACCGGATCCAGATATCCGGGTCCCGCATCTGGCCTGGGACATCTGGGTTGGTCCACCAGCCATCTTTTTTTTTTGTCAAACAGGTGCAAAAAAAATGAGAGATAGCAATATGACAGAAATACAGAATGCAAAATCACATTGAAAGCCAGCAAGTCCAAACGCTGTCCAGAAAACAGAAATGCACTGATATTCCACCAACGGAGAACCAAAGCCAGCGAGTCTAAATGCTGTCCAGAAAGCAGAAATGCACTGATATTCCACTAACGGAGAACCAAAGCACTGAATCCAAATGTCAATGAAAGCATACTCTCGCCACCACCAACATATGTATCCAGAGTCCTTCCTCCTGCTTGGCGCTCCGCGCCCAGACTACTACCACACAGCCTACTAGCAGCCTACGAATCGACAATGCCTCCAGTTGACGTCAGCAGCAGAACCAACGTACATGAAAATGTCGACCCTTGTACACCATCGCCAAGACCAGGTACATGCCCTCACATCATCGCCGAGGGGTAAACCCTCGCACAAGGGGGGGGGAAGGGGGGGGTGGACAATGTTTTGTGTCCCATGCGCCCCCTTAAAACTGTCAAGGGGTCACTACGTGGGAGTCACAAAAACGAGTTATAATATTGCACTATGGGCCAAGATACAGTTTGCAATTGCACTTCGGCCACCCTACCTGGCCAGAAAGCTGGGTTGTAACCATTGCCCAAACTGCAATTGCAAACTGTATCTTGGCCCATTCTACAATTATAACTCATTTTTGTGACTCCCGTGTAGTTTTCCCAAATGTCAAAGTGATTTTAGGCGCCCGTTATGCCCTTCCAGACCGGGCCGAACAAGACTGTTTCAGATGGAAGAGTAAGCCTGCGCGATGTTGCAGATTTCCTTGCAGGAAAACTAAGGAGACTAACTTCAGACAGGTGACGACTTTGCGATGTCGCAGACTTCCTTGCAGAACAAGGAGACCAACTTCAGACAGGTGACGACTTTCTTGAATCAGGATGCATGAGGTAGTAGGGCATAAACAATTGAGAACCCCGTTCAGCATTCAGATCCTAATTCTCTGAAAATTTGACCGTTGAAAACTTTTACAAAATCCCCCGCAGTATCTCGCACATCCTTCATTGAAAAAGTTGACAAACGGATTGAGGCGGCCCGCTTCAAACAAGGGATGTCCATTGCCAGTCAGGCTGCATGAAGTGATAGGGGAAACCGAGGGGCCATGCTTTTTTTTTTTTTTTTTTTTTTTTTTTAAAAAAACCCCCTTCCATTGTTAGTGGTGCTGGTGAGAGCAGACACCACTACCGTCTTCCCCCGAACACAACGCACCCTTATTTTGGCTGTATCTGGCCGGAAATATAGCTTGTATTCATTCATTTTTAGGGTGCGTTATGTTCGGGGGAAGACGGTAGCACCTGAGGAGGGGCTCCATCTCTTGGTGGGGAACAGCACCTGCTGGAAAACGGGTCCAGCGTCCCATATACAGAAAACATGCTAATCTTCTCAGTATTCACATTTCAAATCTCATTTTATTTTATTTTTCTTTCTCTTTTTTTCTAAATTCGCAGGGGCCATGCTAATCTTCTCTGTATCCTTCCAATTTTAACGGATGTCCCAAAGGACTCAGATCTCAATTTTTAAATGCGCAGGGGCCATTCTTCCAATTTTAACGGATGTCCCAAAGGGGTCTCAGATCTCAATTTTTAGGAGATTTGACCACCAAAAACAATATGAGAGTATCCCCCGGGGTATCTTGGGCGTCCTTGATTGGAGAACTAAAAACGAAACTGACCTCCAACAGTAGATGCCTCTAACCAGTTGCGCTGCATGAGGTTGAAGGTGGTAAAAAGGTGACCCTATTCACCCTTCGGGTCTTGATTATATAAAGGTTTCATTCTAAATTGAGAGGTATAACGTGTGCGATGTCATGAACGACAGGGCGAGAGCTTTTATCAACAGCAACTCGAGCAATACTCAGCTGAATTGGGCAGGTGAGGGCCATATAGAAGCGGGATTTCAAGACATACATGGTTTAATAAAACAGTTGCGAAAGAACCAAATAAACCAGGGCTGCAAACCCGGTCCCACCAGGGGTCCACCCCCAACCGGAACCGGGCCGGTGGGACCGGCCCGCCCACCGGGCCAGTTGCCCCCCGGTCGGCTATAGCGCATAGCCGAAATCTGGCCGATTCGAATTTTTTGGGGGCCAGGAGGCCCCCACGCGGATTGTGGGGGCCTCCTGGCCCTAAAAAACATTGCAACGGGTCCGGTAGGGCAGCCTCCAAGTTTCGGAAAGGTCTGCCTCTCTGGACCGCTGATCTCGAAAGATCGGCGGCCCAGATGAGGCCTCCCTTTTTGAAACTTGGAGGAGCTGCCGTTC